GACCTAGATTCGATTACGGTGAGTAAACGACTCGACGACAGTCGAAGTCGCCTGCATGGCTAAGGCCATCAGTTATATTATGGCTAAGGCCATCGCCGCCAACGGTCGACCTAGATTCGACTACGGTGAGTAAACGACTCGACGACAGTCGAAGTCGCCTGCATGGCTAAGGCCATCAGTTATATTATGGCTAAGGCCATCGCGGCCAACGGTCGACCTAGATTCGACCACGGTGAGTAAACAGTTCGACGACAGTCGAAGTCGCCCACATGGCTAAGGCCATCAACTGTATAATGGCTAAGGCCATCGACGCCGATAAGTCGACCCAGCTTGACTATGACAGCAAGTAACTCGACGATAGTTGAAGTTGCGCACACGGCTAAAACCATCGACAAAACTAAGGCCGAAAATAAAGGGTACAGAAAAAAAATAACAGCAAAAGTATAACTTCCATTATCATCCAAAAATGCATATACAAAAGGACCCATTTACATCTCTAAATACAGCAAAACAAAATGAATACGAGTCCTAAGGGGCTTCGACATCCTGATCACCACCTCCCGACGGATCGCTATCTCGTCCACCGCCGTCCTCTGCCTGATAGGCCGCAGAAATCCAAGAGCCGAATTCTAGACGGTTGACATCTTCGGAGTTATAGCCCGGCCGGTCTGGGGAATCAGAACTATACCCACAAGTTTCACGAGCGACACGGACTATGCGCCGTTGCTCTTGAACCTCCGCCTCGGTGGCTCGACCCGCAGCTAAGAACTCCTCGAAGACAACCAATCTGGCCTCGGTGTATACCCACATATCATGCGCCTCACGACGCGCATCCTCATCAGGCCTTGACGCAGCAGTCTGCTTGAGGACTTCAATCTCAGCCGCCTTGGCATCGAGTTCGGAGGTCATGGCGGCAACCTTGATCCGCAAATCAGCGGCTTCCGCCGCTACCCCACGGCCAACCTCCAACTCTTCTTCTTTAGACTGGAAAAGAGTCTCCAGCTCAATATTCCGGGCCAGGGCGGCCATCAGCTGCTCATCGATCTGCTCTAACTCGGCCACCCTCCGTTTCAGCTGGGCCTCCGACTGCTCCAGACCCTCACGGAAAACCCGAAATTCCGGGTCCTGCTTGAGTAGGTCCGCCAGCGCTTGATGCTTGACTCGGCACCGCCGATATTTCTTTACCACCTTGTTAAAGGTTGCTGCCTTCCTTTGCGCTCGCCGCCCCCTCTCTATCTCCAAAATGAGAGTCTAAAAAAGAGGAAAAGGATGAAAGGCAAGTCAGCATGCATCAAAATTTATTTTACGATGCATGAAGAGAATCGAAAAATACCTGTAAGGCCGCACCGGCAACCTCCGGGATAGTTCCCCGTCGCTAACCCCTTGTAACGTTTCACGCTCAGCGGCCGCACATAGCAGGGTCATATCCGCTGCGGCCTGCTCGCTGTGTTGCAACAGGTTATACCCCCCCGGGATCAGAATTCGACGGTTGGATCTACCTACCGTCATCCCTACACGGGCCGGACCCCGCGTTGACGCTTCTGCATCTGCCTGGGCGACCTCAGGGCCCGCCCTCTCGGCATCATCGTCCGCCTCCCCAACGGCAGCCGACGAGCCGCTCTCCGGAATGCGTGTTGACCTGGCGTCGAGAACGGCCCCCCTATGAGGAGCCGACCTCCCGGAACGGATGGCATCCGCCATAAAAACTGGCCTTGACTCTCGACGGGGCTCGCTCGCCCCCTCATCTGCCGTGGCTATCCCCTTGCCGGTTATCAACCGACGTCTTTTTCTTTCCGGCGTCTCCTCGCTCTTAGAAGTCTCCTCCACAGCCCGAGGGGATGGTGTCGAAGGAGTCTCTCCCCTCGCGGACGCCGCCACAGGCAGCGGTTGAGGAATCTCCGCGGCACCATCACTGGGCGAGCCGCAGGGAATGTATCCATCTTCAGAATCAGTACCCGCCCCAGGTAAGATGACGACGCTCTTTTTCTTCTTCTTAGGGGCGCTCCGACCTGCCAACGCGAATAAGTCATAACAAATACGAAGGGAATCCCCAAACCGTAGCTAAAGAATTACCTGACGGGTCGTACTGCCGAAGAAATGCAGCCCAGGTACGGCACTCCTCCGCATAGGGTATTATTCTTTCCACCCACGATTTAATGTCATCAACAAGCTGGGGTGGAGAAGCCCTCGCTGCGAATAAAAAAGAGGAAAGAAAAACAAAGGTCACTATGGCCGTATGGTCGAAGGCGCAAGCAGCACTAAAATCTACAAGTAGAAATACTTACGTTCTGGATTCCATCTTTCCGGAACCCCTCGGGATTCGACACCAGGTGCTCCGTCCTGATGTAGAAATAATTATGCCAGAAGCGGCGGTTGGGCTTATCATCGGCTTTAACGACCAAGCCTTTTGCGCCACGACCTTTCAACTGCAGCATGGTACCCCTCAGGTAACCAGCGCTGAACAACTGTGAGAGGTGGTGGACCGAGACGCTGCACCCTGCCCTGGCCGCATAAGTGGTCATGATACGGCACACCTTCAAAGTATAGGGAGTGAGCTGGGCTGGACACACATTGTAAAAACGGCAAAGCTCCTCCACCAGAGAGTAGACTGGAAGGGCGTAACCGATCAAGAACGGGTACTCATAGAAGGTGCAATATCCAGGCCGGTGCACATTGGCATAATCCGTCCCGGCCGGAACCATTTTCACGTGGTCCGGAATATGGTGCGTCTCTCGCAGATCATCTAAATGGGATTGTAGTAAAACGCTGTGCTCCCAGGGAAGATCAGGGCTTTTAGTTGGAAAATCCCTGCGAACGTGCGTCTCCTTCGGAAGGACATTGTCTACGCTGAGAGGAACAAGGGCCTTCTCCGCCTTTTCCCCTTCACCACCGGATGATGGCGGATCCCTAGACGGGGCATTATCTTTGGCCTTTTTATTATTCTGTCCGCGTTTTGTCATGATTATGCTACTTGAGAAACGAAGCACTGACGATAGGAAGTGTGGTTTCAACAGAAGTGGGAGAGTCCCTCACGAAATCACGGTTACAAGAAAGGAAGGCAAAGGAGTGTATCAGAAAATACTTTTCAGCGGCTTGAAAGTGGAATCAGATCAAACCTCTCTCATACTTAAAGGATAAGTTGCACAGGAATCGAAGAGTCATGATTCAAAACGTGCGCCGGAAACCAAAACGTCACTTCATCCTCTGAACCGCCTCGGGGGCAAATATAATGATGATGCATACAGGCGATGACATCATTCCAAAAAGGAAGCCACGCGTCAGCGGCTCAACAACGTCATATGTTTCACTTCATTCATATTGCCGCCCCTGGTCGAGGTCAAATTCTCCTAAGCCGAGGTTCGTATTTTCGCCCGTCGAAGACGCCCACCGAACGCGTCTCCAACGAGCGGAGGGACTAACTGTATGGGGTCATATTTGACCCTCAGTATCTCTACGCCAGTGGGTACGCCCAATGAGTGTACGCCGACCAACGTAGCGGGTACGACTCGGCCGTGAGGACAAAAGCGACATCGTTTAGAACTCAGCGTCCACGATAAGGAGACGTTACCCATTTTTGTAACTTTTTGATTCTTTCGAGGAAGGTCTCCTATTATATAAAGGAGACCTCCACATTGTAAAAGGGGGATCTGATCTAATACAACTCTCTCATTTTTCTGGCTTTCTCTCTCTATATCTCTACCTCTAACGAAAATATCTTATTGGTAAACATTATCACTTTGCAATATCAGATCTACAACAATATTATGATCTTTGCATCTCTAGGCTTATTATATTTGATTACGATTTACCCCTTTTCTATTTTTGATTGTTTTATCGCTTACAAAGTATATCGTTAACTTTTGAGCCAAACAATTACCAAGTAAGACTTTTTTTCCTTTGTTATGGTCATCTCTAACATATCAAACAAACAAAAAATTATTTTTAAAATATTTTAGCAAAGTTGCTTATTGATCAATTTTGGCTAAATATCAGCCCAACTTTAATGAGTTGAGCCAAAAATGACTCAGTTCAACAAATGAGCGAATCAATAACCGGTCCAACCTGAGACAGATTGAGCCTATTAAATAGGTTTGGGCTCAAATTACCATCCTAGAAATTACTGGAGAATGGAGATAAAAAAGCATCAAAATTGATAAGTTGGCTTTTGGTTTTCTTATTGCACATCACGTACATTTCATATAAAAAAAAAAGGAGAAATTTTCATAAAGCACTATCTTTTAGTGGAATTAGCTATCTATAGATACCATTTGCTATATTACGGATTATAGATACGTTTCCGTTGTTATAAGATGTATTAGATGTATTTAAGCTACTGTATTCATGAATACAGTAGCAAAAATAGGCGTGAATCAGGGAAGTCCAGCTAATCAGTTGTTGTATTCGAGTGTATTCGACTGTATTCATGGCGTGAAATATGCGATTACAGCTGGACAGATTATTGTATTCGACTGTATTCACAGCGTGAAACAGGGGATTACACTGTTTTTAAACGGAAAGTGAATCAATTAACATAATAGACTCCTAATATAACTCAACAAACTCAATTATAACACACAAATTTTGTATTTCCAGTTATAAAAAAGGATTCTCAACCGAAAAATTATCCCAAAAGCATAGCAATCTTCAGAGAAATTATAGAATACATCTGAATATATAAATTATATTAATTAAAAAAAACCTATGAATACATTCATGGCATATAGCGAGACAGTAACAATGAAATACATAGAATACAACGGGATACATTGAAATACAATGAAAAAAGACAATAAATACAATGAAATACATGAAATACAGCGAGATATATTGAATTACAATTGAAAAAAAGACAATGAAATACAATGAAATACATGAAAATACAACGTAAAAACCAAGAACCAGCAACTCTTTTCATCGCAAAAATCATAAACCCAGCAGATCTTCGTCCCTCATATTGTCTTCCTCCGGCTCAACATTCACTATCTCCAAATTTTATGAAGATGAAGAACAAGATTTCGAGCCATATGAAGAGGAAGAACAATATGGCTGTAATTCACAGGGAAGCAGAAGAGAAGAGGGCACTGATTGAAGCAAATCGAGGCCAAGATTTTCTAAAGGTAGAGGAAACTGCTGCAAAATTTTGTGAAACTGGAATTCCCACAGGGAAGCAGATCTTCGTTCTCTCTCTTTTTCTCTCTGTTTTTGTGTTTTGGACCTCCCTTCTCTTATGTTGAAGATGTGAAGGGTCGTATGAAAGTGCAGGAGAGAGGAGAGAGCGTGGGGTTTTTAACTAATGGTAGGTGATATGGGTGAGAAGAATTTTGAGATTGAGCATCGTGTGTTTAGGGAAGAGCATGACATGTATCAAAGTAGAGAGAGAAAGAAAATAGTGTAATAGCGTATTTAGTGGCTTAGGGGTAGGAGGTAACCAAAATTAGATATTTTGCTATAAACATTAAAAGGTATCTATAGAATATAATTTTTAAAATGGTATTTATTTAATATAAATAAAGTGTTAACCTTTGCTATAGGAGGTAAAAATTCCTAAAAAAAAAAAAAAGACAAGTGAAATAACTGTCTTCTTGTTTCATGTTATGTGATATACTCTTTACTTTCTAGTACAAAAAATTGACACACTTTTATATTTTAACCTTTATTTATTTAGTCCCTTAATTATGATTTTCTTGCATTAGAAAACTTAGCATTGTTCATCTTATCATCTGAATATTATTAGAATAAATTATGATTCTTTCCCCTATAAATTTTGCTGATTAATTAATTGATCAACAGGAGTATATCCAGACCGGTCAGCTCTACCAACAATCGGTGGAGGGGAAGGGGTGGGAATTATACATTCTGTTGGCTCTGCTGTTAAGTCTCTTTCCCCTGGAGATTTTGTTGTCCGTTTCCCTTATATTCAAGGTAATATTTTATGTGTCTTATAATTACAATATTATACCGATTTATTATTCAGTAAAAACTTATTCACGCCGAATGTTTAGAGCAAATTATAAATGCACGACATGTGTTTGGATATAGACTTCTCTTACTTAATCATTGTTATGTATGCGTAACACAAATCCACAGTGAATTGCTTCTACGTTGCATCAGGATGTAAGATCAGTGCAACTCCTATACACTAATGATATGAAAAAAATTATATACTACCAAATAACATTAAAAATTAGCAACAACAAATATTTGTCTACAATAAAGGTAATTAATAGCTCTTAAATAAAGTAGACAATCGGCCAGAGGCGGATTCAGGATTTGAAGGTTATGAGTTCCTACCGTAATATCAAATTAATATAAAATAATAATTGGGTTCACAATTAGGTACTTACAAATATTTAGAGGATTTCTTAATATGAATAAATGGTCTGCGCAAGAGTTACTGGGTTCCCGGGAACCCATATTCAATACTCTAGGTCCGCCCCTGCAACCAGCTACAAAACGTTAAAATACATTATAATGCAGCAATAAGTGTAAAAATTCTTTACACGATAAGTATATATAAGTTAAATGCGATAATTAATGTTATAGCTTTATGTTATGCTCAGGGTCATGGCAAACCTACATTGTACAAGAAGAAAGTATGTGGCACAAAATTGATAAAAGCACCCCAATAGAATATGCTGCCACTATTTCTGTTAATCCAGTGAGCGCCTTGAGAATGCTCGATGAGTTTGTTACTTTAAAACCAGGTTAATTATTTGTCAAATCTCTTTAATTAATTACTTATAGTGTTTTATTGCTTAATTTCCTCTCTTTTAATTTGTGTTTAATTTCCACAATTAGGAGACTCGATTGTGCAAAATGGAGCCACAAGCATTGCGGGGCAATGTATTATTCAGCTAGCTCGTCTTCGTGGAATTCATAGCATTAATATCATAAGAGATAAGCCTGGATCTGATGAAGTTAAAGAAAGATTAATGAAACTTGGTGCTGATATTGTGTTTACTGAGAAAGAGTTGGATGTCAAACGTGTCAAAAATCTCCTGGTATTACTATACCTAAACTCATTTGATTTTCAAAAATTTACCACTGATGCTTGTATTATATTAGACATTTAGATTTTAGACTGTCTATATTATACTTTGTGGTGTACAACCCTTTTCTGGATCCTACGTGAACGCGGAAAGCCTTGTACATGGGCTGCCTTTTTTTTTTTTTTTTTTTTTTTATTGCATGTGAGTGGATAATTTCCACGCATGATCACTGAATTTTAACAATTAAAGTCACCAAAACTACTTTTAGCAAATTAAAGTAACCGGATTGCATATTAAACTTTATCCATTGTGACAGTAAAGTTAAAAAAATTTCCCACACTAAATTATTTTTCTTTACCCACTGTAAGCATAAAACATAATCATCAACGTAACTTTGATGTTATATTGGTTAAATTATGTATTACTTTAATGTAATAGAAAATAATTTTACAACGTTGCTAGTATATAAGGTTTAACTCAGTGATCATACACGAAATTAACCTTACGTTTCAAGGATGATACATTGATTATAATTTTTTTTTGGTTCTAGGGTGATTTATCTGAACCTATTTTGGGTTTGAACTGTGTTGGTGGCAATGCTGCTACTTTAGTCGTCAAATTCTTGAAGTGAGACAGCTTTTCTTAATTTAATTTTCTTTATAAGTTAAAGTTTTCAGCTTTCAATTATAAGTGATTAATTATAATTAACTTTACTGCATGTTCTTTTCAGGCAAGGTGGTACTATGGTTACATATGGAGGGATGTCGAAAGAACCTGTTACTGTATCTACTTCATATTTCATATTCAAGGTTAGTTTCAATCAGAGAAATGAGACTATTATTCATTAATTATTGTTTATTGTTGCAGGATATTAATAGAAAGAATCCCAAAATATTTAATGGAATTATTGTTGCAGGATATTACGTTGAAAGGATTTTGGCTACAAGAATGGAAATTAGATCAAGCTAAATATAGGGATTGGATCGATTATCTCTTGGCCCTAGCTCGTGTTGGAAAACTGAAATATGAGTAAGTTCTTTTGTATTCGTTCAATATATTCCTAAGTCATATGCACGTGAAAAAGCAGTGGCGTAGTTAAAAATTTAGCTAAGGGTATTCAAACTTTAAATAAGTCAATAATTTTTTTTGTCGATGAATGGTGTATCAAATTTTTTAATTCAAATTATGCAACTTTTAGCTTAACAAAAAAACTTCTAATAGATCTATAATTTTATAAATCAAAATTAAAATAACAAAATGACAATATAAGAAATTACTAATAAAAGTAAGCATAAAACTAAATGAAAGAGAGAGAGTCGAGAGAATTTAAAGTTTATAAAGAGCTTTTGTTGAATAAATTTTTATAGAGCTTGACTTTTACATTATAAAAATTATTTAAGAAATAACTTTTAGTTAAAAATTTACTTTTAAGATTAGTTGTTTATTTCTACATAAATTTTAAGTTCTAAAATTTATTTTATTAGAATTTTTTTAAATTGAGAAAGAATCAAATAGGACCACATATGGTAGTCTCCGTTAAGTTTTGGCAAACAAAATGAGCAAAACTTTGAACCCGCAAACCACATGTCACTTTGAACACCCTGAACAGATAGAACTGCCTCACTCAACTATGTTAAGGGTGCTCAAAATATAATATAACTATATAAAATAATATTTAACTTATATATACAATATAAATTTTTGGCGGAGGGCGTGCGCTTGACCACCCTTGACATGGGGTGGCTACGCCACTGCGTGAAAGGATAGTTTGGACAGTGATGCATATTAATGAGAAGTAAACTCCTTAATTTAATTTGTATGGTTAAGAAATAAAGAAAAACTCTTAAGTTTATGATCTAAAAAATGTCATATATTTATGTATTATTAAACTTTTAAAATTTATAATTTTAAATATGTCATATTATTTGTGTGACTGTAAAAAAATTTTATTAAAGAAATATAAAAATATATCATTATTTTTAAAATGGGCTAAGAAAAAAATAATATTAAATAAAATGGGATGAAGGAAATGCCTTTTTAGTTTACCAAGGGTCAGCAAAAGTAGAGAATTAGACTATGAACGTTCGAGAGGCGATGGTAGGTGAAAAAGAATTATGCAAAAGGAGTACCAAAATATTTATCGGTCATTCTGAACAAGATAGTACATTTTTCGGTGCCAAATATTAGTTCGTTTTAATAAATTGAACGTGTCTCTAAATATTTAATCCTTTAGAAAATAAGAAGCCATTAAATACAATATACACCTAATAATTCCAATAAGAGGAATATTAATTATGTGAGACATTTGAAGAGAGGTAATTATTAATTTGGACTAATACTTGTATGATTTAATTTATTATGTATTCCCTCCGGTCTGTTTTAACTGATTTTTTGGCCGTTTTTAAAAAATATTAAAGATTTCTATCTTGTAGCATTAATTAACAATGAAATTGAGCATATTAACCTTAATTTGTTCTTTAAAAGTATTGCAAATATTCTTAGGTTCTTTATTCTAAGGTAACTTTGGAAAAAAGAATTTAATTCCTTCTTGATATCTGATTTGAGATAAATTAAAATAGACAGGTTGAAGTATTTTTTTTAAGGGTGTATAGAAATCTTAATTAAAAGACAAATAATATGAATGTGATGTTATTTAATGCAATGTGTTGGAACTCCGATACCTCGTAAGTCAAAACTAAGGGTGTCAAACGGGCGAGGTTGACCCATTTCGGACCGGCCCAGACCGGTTGATATTCGGACCGGCCCCGACCAGTAGTTAGGGTTAGGGGGGTTGGTCCGTTCACCTAAATAGATCCGGTTAACCGGACCGGTCAAACCCGGTCAACCAAAATTCCTGTTGAACCGGTTAAACGGCCCGACCCGGTTTAAACGCTATATTTTTGAATTTTTTTTAAAATCATTTTAGACCGTTGAATTTGCTCTTTTTTCGTTAATTTACTTGTTGTTAAATCTAAACTTCAATTTGTAAGTTTGAATTTTGAAATAAAAAAGCACTTGCAATTTATAAGTGAATTTTTTTTTCCATCTTCATTGTATTCTTTATATTTTTACTTTATACTAATATAAATTACAATAGTTATACAAAATGCAAAAAAAAAAAAATAACACTAACCCGACCCGGCCCCTTGAACTCGTAACCCTTACGGTTCATTTTTTTACCCGTATGGACCCGGACCAGTTAAGCCCGGTTTAAACTAACCCGCAACCGGCCCGGTTTGAAAACCGGTCGGTTTCCTTTTTTTCCCAACCCAAACCGGCCTGGCCCACCCGTTAAACACCCTTAGTCTAAACATTTTGAATGATTGTACAACTACCATGGCTAAACAGAAACCCTAATAATTGATGGGGTTTCAACTTTAACCCAAAAACGAAAAAAAGGAGGAAACCCTAATAATTGATGGGGTTTCAACTTTCAACCCCAAAAACGAAAAAAAGGAGGAAAAAAACATGTGAATTGTTTGGTGATAGTAAAGTGACCTGAGATAGAGTGAGATATTATGTCGAATTTTTTCCTTCTCTTTTTTGTTTCTATTTTTGGGGGTTGGGGTAGGTGAGACTGTACTAGTTCTCTAAATATTTGAGTATCTTGACAGTGTACTGATGTTGGTCTATTCTAATACAGGATGGAAATGGTACCTTTTAATGATTTTCATATAGCTCTTGGAAAAGCAATGGGAAAACAAGGAAGTCGAGGGAAACAAGTCCTTAAATTCTAAGCCATGGGAAATGAAATTTTATTGTAAAAGTATTGCAACAATGTATGGAGTCGAATTTATTTGTAACTAGAGGTATCAAGTTCGAGCTCTTGGTATGAAGTTGTTTTTGTTAGTGAGTATTTTACTCCCGAATGTAAGACTTTCTGACACAAATTCAGATTTAGTCGGGGCCCAATATGGAAATCGCACACTCGGCGAAAAGCCAAAAAAAAAAAAAATAGATTCACTGGTCTTGGGATATATTTTCAAGTTAAATTATCGGATATTCTTCTCAATCTCACATGTTGTGATCAGGGGCGGAGCTAGAATGCCGAGAGCGGGCTCGGCCGAATCCAGTAGCTTTGGTTCGAACCCTGTTTTGTCGTAAAATATTCATTGAATATGCATAAATTGTGAATCTAGAACCCAGTAACTTAAGGCGATTGAAATCCTGAACCTATAACTTTAAAATTCTAGCTCCGCCACGGGTTGTGATGCTGTATTTTTCAGAAGCTTTCGTGTTTGGTTGTTATTTCTTCTTTTTATATCTCTTTTTTTTTCATTTACTGGTGCCATCATTTTAAACAATTTCAACCATTTTCTGAGATAATAAACAAATATAAACGCAATTTATAAACTTATTTGAATGTGCAGAGTGGAAACTTTTGTGTTAGTCCCTTGCGAAGATTGCTGATGTAACTATATACAATAAAGAAGAATAACCTATACAATAAAAAGGAAAAATTGAGCATTTAATAGTGATGGATTCATTATTTGGATCCTGCTTCGTTTCACTTGCTAGTGATACCCGTAATTACAAAGCAAGAGAATAATTTATTAGATGAGATACAATATAAGGGAAGAGGGAATTTAAATAATAAAAATATGTGATATTTCGCCTGCCCGTTATCCTCATTAACTGTATTCCCTGCATATTATGCTAAGAATTTATAACGCTGAGGAGTTATACTAAATCCCGCTTTATTCGCGTTTACTGATTCTCCTATTTTCCGTACTTATATCTTCTCTAGAGATATTCCGTGTTAACTCATAAATGATTATGGAATGAACGATACCGATATTAACAATTACGGTTCAAACAATACTAATGCTAAATAACTCTCAACTTGATTGATCTGGGGTGTCACGGCCCAAAACCTAACCCGTCGTGATGGCGTCTATCGTGGTACTAGGCAAGCCGACATTTCCAAAATACTTTCAACATTTAACAGAAATGATTTAAGACAATTAAAAATAACCGGAGTCTTTCATAAAAACGGGGTAAACCCAAAGCATAAGTGCGAAAAATAGCCCGACATTGGGGTGTCACTAAGTCATGAGCATCTAAACAACCAGTCTAGAAACAGTGTCTACAAGAGTCTGTGTCAAAATACCAATACTGCACTTGCAGAACCGCTTCTGCGGTTACTCCTCCGCTTATGAGGAAACCACTTAAGCCACTGGGGTCGCACCTGCGCTCCAGGTCTCGCACTTGCAGAGTCGCTTCTGCGGCCCTTTGTCCGCTTCTGCAGAAATGCCCAAACATTCCCTCTTCGCATCTGCATGCCATTATCGCATCTGCGGGCTCGCAGATGCGCATCCTTTCTCGCACCTGCGCCCCTGCCCTTCTTGGCCTTGCCCGCTTTTGCGGCCTTCCTCTTCGCTAATGCCGGCTCGCACCTGCGATGAAACTTCCGCGGGTGCTATTACACCAGCTGAGTCCAAACTTCAGCAGTCTACCAACTTCAAAACTTGATCCGTTAACCACCCGAAATCAACCAGAGGCCCCCGGGACCTCAACCAAATATACCAACAAGTCTTATAATCCAATACGAACTTAGTCGAATCCTCAAATCACCTCAAACCTCAAAAACACGAATTACACACGGATTCAAGCCTAATGAGCTTCGAAACTTCCAAATTTCACAAACGACGCTGAAACCTATCAAATCACGTTCGATTGACCTCAAAGTTTGCACACAAGTCATAAATGACCCCACGAACCTACTCCAACTTTCGGAAATCCAATCCGTCCCCGATATAAAAAAGTCCACTCCTGCTCAAACCTTCCAAAATTCCAACTTTCGCCAATTCAAGCCTAATTCTACTACGGACCCCCAAAACACAATCCGGACGCGCTCCTAAGTCCAAAATCACCTAAAGGAGCTAACATCTTCAAAATTCAAATCCAAGGTCGTTTGCACATAAGTCAACATCCGGTCAACTTTTCCAACTTAAGCTTTCAAATAAAAGACTAGGTGTCTCAATTCATTCTGAAGTCACTCCGGACCCGAACCTATTAATCCGGTAAGTCATAATACAACTGTATAACACAAAAGAAGCAGAAAATGGGGGAGCAGGGCTATAACTCTCGAAAAGAACGGTCGGGTCGTTACATCCTCCCCCTCTTAAACAAATGTTCGTCCTCGAAGGGGTCTAGAAACATACCTGGAGTCTCAAATAGGTGGGGATATCTGCTCCGTATCTCCCGCTCGATCTCCCAAATAGCTTAATCCACGGGCTGACCTCTCCACTGCACATTCACTGAAGCTATATCCTTTGACCTCAACTTTCGAACCTTCCGCTCCAAGATAGCCACCGGCTCTACATCATAAGTCAAATTACCATCCAAGTGAACCTTACTGAAATCCAAAACATGAAACGGATCGCCGATATACTTCTGGAGCATAGAAACATGAAATACTAGATGCACACTCGACAAACTAGGTGGCAAGGCAAGCTTACAAGCCACCTCCCCAATCCTCTGAAGTATCTCAAAAGGCCCAATGAACTGAGGGCTCAACTTTCCCTTCTTCCTGAAATTCATAACACCCTTCATGGGTGAAACCTTCAGTAGAACCTTCTCCCCAATCATGTAAGTCAGATCACGAACCTTCTTGTCGGCGTAACTCTTCTGTCTTGACTGTGCCGTGCGAAGCCGCTCCTGAATCAATTTAACCTTTTCCAAAGCATCCTGAACCAAGTCAGTACCTAATAGCCTAGCCTCTCCCGGCTCAAACCAACCCACCGGAGATCTACACTGCCTCCCATATAAAGCCTCACACGGAGCCATCTGAATACTCGATTGATAACTATTGTTGTAAGCAAACTCCGTGAGCGGCAGAAACTGGTCCCATGAACCACCAAAATCAATGACACAAGCGCGCAACATGTCCTCCAATATCTGAATAGTGCACTAGGACTGTCCGTCCGTCTGAGGGTGAAATATTATGTTCAACTCAACCTGAGTGACCAACTCTCGCTGCACGGCTCTCTAAAACTGCGTGCCTCTATCTGAAATGATGGAAACTGGCACACCGTAAAGGTGAACAATCTCTCTGATGTATATCTCAACCAACCGCTCTGAAGAATAAGTAGTACCAACTGGAATGAAGTGCGCAGACTTGGTCAGCCGATCCACAATCACCCAAATAGCATCAAAATTCCTCGAAGTCCGTGGGAGCCCAACTACGAAATCCATGGTGATCCGCTCCCACTTCTGCTCCAGAAACTCTATCTTCTGAAGAAATCCACTCGGTCTCTGATGCTCATATTTTACCTGCTGACAGTTGAGACACCGAGCTACAAACCCAACTTTATCATTCTTCATTCTCCTCCACCAATAGTGCCGCCTTAGGTTCTGGTACATCTTCGCGACACCCGAATAGATGGAATACCGCGAGCTGTGGGCCTCCTCAAGAATCAACTGCCGTAACCCATCTAAATTGCGCACACATATCCGACCCTGCATCCTCAACACCCCATCATCTCCAATAGTCACATCTGTGGCATCATCGTGCTGAACCTTGTCCTTGAGGACAAGCAAATAAGGATCATATTGGCGCTCTCTGATGCGATCAAATAAGGAAGACCGAGAAATCACACAAGCTAGAACCTGACTAGGCTCCGAAATATCCAATCTCACGAACTGGTTGGCCAAAGACTGAACATCAACTGCAAGAGGTCTCTCCCCAGTAGGAATGAATACAAGACCGCCCATACTCACTACCTTCCTACTCAAGGCATCGACCACCACATTGGCCTTTACCGGATGATACAAAATAGTAATATCATAATCCTTTAGCAGCTCTAACCATATCTGCTGCCTCAAATTAAGATCCTTCTGTTTGAACAAGTGCTGGAGGCTACGATGATAAGTAAATACCACACAAGACACACCATAGAGATAGTGCCTCCAAATCTTCAACGCATGAACAATGGCAGCCAACTCCAAATCATGAACAGGGTAGTTCTTCTCATGGGTTTCAACTGGCGCGAAGCATAAGCAATCACTCTAACCTCCAGCATCAAAACACACCCAATATCGATCTGAGAAGCATTACAATACACCGTATAAGAACCAGAAGCTGATGGTAGAACTAGAACTAGAACTGTGGTCAAGGCAGTCTTGAGCTTCTGAAATGAGAATTTTCCTTCCAAATCAACTCTGAACTTCCCGAAATTCGATTCCTACCACGCGTAAAAGTCATAATGCCTGAAGAGAAGCTACTCATGGCCTCAAACCGCTGAACGACGTGCTAGAGCTCAAAACGACCGGTCAGGTCGTTACATTCTCTCCCACTTAAATATACGTTAGTCCGCGAACGTGCTAAGAACTGCTCTGGAGTTGTCCGAAATCATTGTTTAACACCTTGTTCACCTACCCGTGCTACCATAATTCAATTGAGCACATTAGCTCGAGCAAATCTGAAGATTCTCCCTTTTATTTAGTCAAGTTAGCCTTAGAGACAAATTCCAACATCTGAAATTCTCTACCAGGTCTGTTCCCAACATACAAACACCGTATCAATCACTACACGATGTACCAATACATGATTGTATACTCTTACTGAATTCACACCATGAACCGCATAGTTCACATGACCATAATAACATCCCCTGATAAAAATAGCTGGAAATCCCACGAATTTGATGCCTACAACACACCTCATAATGCATATAAGTCCTATTTCAACTCTCGAAATACTTCCACGACAGAAGAGATGTGTTGAAACTCATAACCACCTGCCGAATCACATTTCATGGAGTCTCTCCTCCCGATAAGAACCATTACTTCATACTGGACTGAATATCGATATTTGCTCTTTAATACGCTTTATACAAATTTGATCGCACTGATCCCAGGTCCAATAATCTCGTCTCACCCAGTATAATTTGCTCAGGAAATAAGCCACCTCAGACACTACCAAAAGTCTCATATGATGCCACCATGTGCTAGCAAGCCACAACTCGAATGTGATACATAAAGAAACAAACTCTGGAAAGAACTACTCAACCCACCTAACTAATTAAACAACCGAAGGGATGTTATGAACCTTCCTCAGAAAATGAGAAACAAAACACACAAGAATCGATATGGGGAACTGTACTCAACCTCACACTGTTGCGGCGTGCAACACGATCCACACATGATACCGTTGCGGTGTGCAACCCAGTCCAACCATGTTACCTATGGCAGCGTGCCACCCGATCCACACATAATAATCTATAAAGAAATACTTACCGAGATAATATGCTCATAACTACGAAATACCCAAATATCGACCACAAGAACGCCAAGTGCGTAATACCATCCCTGGGGAGACAGAAAGCGCCATACGCTACAAAACTCAAGCACGACTAAGGTGCGATATATGACCTGCATCTCGAGAGCCACCCTGCTCACATAACACCATCCCTACTCGAAACCTCAAACATGTGCAATTAATCAGGCCGTCTCACAACCCACATGGCATAATAAAAATTACACGGAATGGCTGACGACAGAAATAACATCCAAGGCCCGAAGAATCGCCCGTAAATAACGCTAAGCTAAAATGAGCACATGCAGCCTGGTATAGAGCCCACATTCACATTTAGATCCATCCATGTACCTCAAGCTGATTCTAACTGTACCACACTAGGCTAATAACCCTTCAAGGATCCACACTAACCTTTTTTCCCATGACACACAATTGCGACCGTCAAATACGGAACACACTTCCACAGTCCGCAACTAAATGAACCGAGCACCTTTTAGGCATACATTCTCACATTAGCGATAGTGCCAAAAATCTCCACACTTGGTTTCAATCTTCAATCAATCAAGTGACTACATGTCACACTTACACAATCTTCCTGTGGGACATGCTCCCACGACCTTGCGCACCAGGTAAAAAGTTACACATCCATACCACTGGCCACACTAACGCTGTAAAGCGAATCAAGAATCCGCAATCAGTACGCAAAGCCTATTACGCAGGACAGCGATCTCAGGTGGCTTCTAAAGACAATACCAGCTTACTCTAACCTGAATCCTTTCCCGCTGCTCCGAGATCTTGACATTCTCGCCGACACCAAATTGCAATCTTGATCCTCAACTTTCTAATTCACAACTATGCCGAAACCTATTAAATCACATCCGGTTGACCTCAAATTTTGCACACAAGTTATAAATGACCCCACGAACCTACTCCAACTTCCGAAAATCCAATCCGTCCCCGATATCAAAAAGTCCACTCCTGGTCAAAACTTCTAAAATTCCAACTTTCGCCAATTCAAGCCTAATTCTACTACGAACCCCCGAAATACAACTCGGACTCGCTCCTAAGTCCAAAATCACCAAGCTAAGCTAACCGAACCTTCAAAATTCAAATGTGAGGTCATT